TTCGACACTAAATCAATCCAATTTTCGATATACCGCATATATCTCTAACTGTTGCGGAATTAATGGCCAAGCTTTCAGTTCACGATATAGTCGTGTGTGTTTTCAATGTAACTTGATTTTAGGTTTGCTGGTAAAAGGGAATAACGCTTAACGTCAATAAATAATAAAATTATAAATAATAATATTCTCTACACGCTAAATGAACACAAACGCATTTATTCGACGGATGTTGCGGGCAAAACCGTCCGTAATCTAAATTATTTAAAGCCGACGTTAAATTTATTATTAAATTCTTTTTCGCAGTTTAGTGAAAAAGCTGAAGTTTATATATTAACGTTTGACTTGAAATTTTTAATAAATTTACACTGATTATATAATTTTGCCGCATCCAGCCAAGTTTCATACTCAGTTTCATATTCAGTTCACAACATTATACGTCAAGGAACTTTGTTCGCGAATATCATGCTGACGAAGCACAAACAAACGCCAGCAATACAGCCGGATACTTAACTCTCAACAAAGTCGAAGCTTGCCTTTTCGATATTTGCATGACCGTCAAGTATCGTCGGTCGAGTGTCGGTGGCACCACTCGCGCATAATGGATTTCGGCAGACAGCCGCACAAAGGAAGTAGAAATGGACCGTGTTGCCGCGGACGAGTGGGTGGACGAGTTATTTGTTTCGTTATTTCACGATAAATCGTATCGATTTCTCGTCGATTATGATTCGCTTGTAAATCATGCCCGTTGCCGGCCAGCGGGGTCAGCCAGCCTGGCAAACCCGCCCGTGTTACGACGCGGCCCATAAATCGCGAAACGAAATGAAAAGAGCGCGGCTACCGCGGAACGAGGGGAGGCGGTGCGGAGGCGAGTGCGCACCGGTGAGACAGCGAATTAAAAAATAAAAAGGAAAGTTTGATGCGCCAATTCCCCCTAACGAATTGCGGTGCAGTGTATATGCACTATGGCGAGCTCGAATACGCTCATCGGGTATTTGCGACGCGACGACGGCATTTAAGCACTGCGCGCCGAGAGTAAAACGAATCGTTTGTCGCTTTAAATATTCACTCGCTTTTTCCGTGTACGCGAACCTCTTTGCTACCGATCTCATCGGCAGATGGCCAAATTCCATTTTAACCATTTGATTCCATAAAAGTAAGATTTTTATCAGATAGGAAGGTGAATCGTATACAGATTGGAATTGCCTCCAAAAGTTAACAAGCATGATCTAAAATCATTTCGCAAGATTAGAAAATACCTTAAAACTTTTCTTCAAATTTATCGAAAAAGTGAAATATTTTATTTGACCTATTTTTTAAATAAATGCTTTTATTTTAGCCAATTTTTTTATTAAAAATACCTAAAAAAAACTGCTTGCTAATTTTGATTCTTGATTAATGTTTTAATTAAAAAGACTCATATTAAAATATGTTTATGTCTTTAGGTTTTATGTTCAGATTTATTCAGATCTGTTCAGATCTGTTCAGATCTGTTCAGAAAAATGATGAGGCAAAAGGATAATATTTAAATTTATCGGAGATTATCGATTTCATTTTTAAATATTCATTTTAAAATCTTTAGATATTTTTTTATATCTTTTTTTTTTTGCAGAGTAATTTTAACTTATTTGTATTAAATATTAAAATGCCATGTAATATTCGACAAGACTTTAGTCAGATTCGAAGCGAGCAGATTGAAAGTAATATTTAAAATGGGAATACATTAATACCCACGCAAGCCGCTTTGAGGGATATTTTTCATTAGGCAGGGCGGTGCGAGCCTTCCGCAGGAAGTGCAGCCAGAAAATTCCGAAGCCAATCGATCGTCGGACGGAATAAGAGACAAACGAAAAAGAAGAGTCGACAATCGTGTATATAACGTAAAATCCAATGCAGACGCGACGGCATAACGAAGGCAATAGCTTATTTCGATTACTTTTAATCTGAAACTTGTCTTCCTTACTGCAAGGGCTCTTACCAATCGGTTCTCTTTCACTCACTTTGTTTACTCCTACAAGCTATTCCTTTATTGAGAATAATCCCTTTATTACAAAACTTTGCTATATGATGTTTATCTCACGATTTTCGACAATAAATCGGACAACGCATCTCGAATATGAAATTTCGAGACCGAATTGCTATACCGAAGTTCAGCGATCAAAAAACTTGAAATATTTTTCCATAAATATTTGATACATTATCTTTTCCGATGCTCATCATTCACTTTTTCTCTTCAAAATCAATCATTCCCAGACGACAATAAATATTACTGTCGAAGCAATGTCCAATATTTTTATGCTTCTTTTAATCAAATAAATCGAGTGCAATTTTGCTAATTTATATTTGTTTACTTTGTGCGATAATAAACAAATGTGTATGAATGTTTGACAAAAAGTTAAGAGGCAATCTATCATTCGCTACGCGTCGAATAGGGGAGTGATTTTTCAAAGTGTTAAGATTATACTAAATGCTCTGAATAAACTACTTTCCGAGTGCGCTGTTTACTATTGACACTCGATGGATATTTCCTCCTCTTTACGATAACTGTAAATTGAGTTGCCAAGGGAATACCGATGCTTTTCGAACTTGTACAGCGTTTCCTAAGCTATTTTATGTTTGCGGGATGGGGCGTGGGCATGAGGTTGACGGGAGCACGGTGAAAAGAGTTGAAGATGGTGGCTCTTAAGGTTAGTGACAGGTGACTGATGAAACCTCTCCGACCCGCAACTACAGTCGAGAGTAGTACGCATCAGGATCGTAGTTCTCGATCAAATGCGTCTCTTTCATGTGTTTGTAGGAAAACATCAACCCACTGGAGCTTCCTCTGATTTATTTTTCTTTCTCATATTTCTCTAGCCCTATCATGATATGCTAAAATCAAATTCGTCTCGCTACATATTTTGCAAGAGACCTCGCGCAGTGAAATTTTATTTCGCGAAATGTCGCTGTATAGCAATTTTATTTATGTCAAATCCCGCTTGGTACTTTCCTATTTCTCTCTGTGCTTCTAACATTAAGTAGATAATAATTTTTTTTATCGAGAACAAGTTATATTTAATTGACAATGTACGCATTTTAATTGAGGAAACATTATAAGTGGAAACAAAGTGGAGAGACATTTGATGTCTACACAACGTTTCTGTACGGCTGATTGATTATTGCTTAACATCGTTTTGCGCAACGATTCCATCGCCTCGTTACGTTATTGGAGTGAGGCGACATCCTGAAGAAGCATTAAAAATGCGATAACTGGATTTTTTACATCACTCCGATAAAGATCGAAAAATAGTTGAGCTATCACAAATATTTGGTTATGCAAACTATAAACTACACACACTTATAGTAATATAAATATTTAAAATTAAATATTAAATTACATTTGAAGTAGATAAAATAAATTTAATTTTGCCATGTATTTGCGCTTTTGAAGAAAACTTGGGTGAAAAAAAATTTAATTTTTACTTGTTTATACGACATTATTTAATTATTTAGTTATTTATCTTTAATCATTGCATTTATGATAAAATAGTCATAATTAAATAATTTTGATGCAATGTATTAATAAATTTGTAATTATTTTTAAAGAAAAGAAAATAAGAAGCATGTATTTTGTAAAGATTGACTTGATAACACACGTCATTATAAGATACGATCGCGTAAAATAACTTTTGTCTGTGGCTGCGAAGATGAGCTCGTCATTAGCCACCACGAAGGCGACAAACATTCTGCATCACGCTACCAACGTCAAGCCGATTATGTTCCGCGTCACAGCCACGAGCGAGATTGTAATTGGGGACCGTGTTATCCGGTCAATCGTAAACGCGCCGTTGCCGGCAGCGACGCATTTTTAGCGCAAATCAGTGGTTGTGGAATCGGAACTTCCTGACGAGCACAGCGAGGGTGGCCGAGCCATTTTAGGGGGATGACGTTTGACGTGCACGCGATAAATGCACGGCCTATCGGTTATTGCTTAATGCTGTTTCACGAGCAACGAGCTCGATATACGGTTTCATTACGCTCTTGCTTATGAATTAGGGCTTTTTGCACATCGTCAATGCACAGTCGATGTTAGAATTACTTATAAATACTACATTTTATAATATTTTTTTATGCTTTACTTTCTATGAATTTATTCCTCTATAAATCGAAAATAACAATAGTAGTTTTAAGAACGCAATATAAGTTTATTCAAAGATTGATAATATTTAACATTTTTTAAACAAAAATTTAGATCTAAATATTTACATATATA